CCAGGGTACTACAGCCTGCTCAATTTCTTCTGGAATAGGAGAGGCATCCACTTCCTTGATCACAAAAATGCCTGTTATTTGTTCCTCAGGTATTTCCAATTTCACCCTTCCCCCTTCAAATATTATTTTCACATTAAGTCGGGACAACAGGTCTCTGCCAAGAAGGGGTGTGGGGCAGTTTGGCATATACAAGAATTGGTGATCTAATTCCTTCCCCCCAAACCTAAGATTTAAAGGTTGTAAAAATGGTTGCTCCTCTAGCTTCCCTGTTGCCCCCACCACCTGTACTGTTGTGTCACTCAAAGGTCCCAATAGTCTATTAAGTACAGAATAGGTTGCTCCAGTGTCTACCATAAATTCTTGATCCTTTCCATCTATCTCTAAAACTACCCTAAGATCCTTTTCTAGTCAGCCTTGATTCTGATAGTTTCCCAAAACTAGTGCTTGAGCGACTTCTGCTGGTCCTCCCGTGAATCCTCCCACAGGAGCATTCCCCATTGGACCTGTCCTTAATCCTATGTTTCCCATGCCCATACCTCCTCTAACCGGGCATTCATTTTTCCAGTGTCCTAACTGTCGGCAAAACGCACACTGGTTTGGATCCAACCTCCCCGTGTTAGGTGCAAACCCAAATCCTCCCCGACCTCTTGCCAGCCCCCTTTGTCCGTGATTAGGTCCTCCCCGACCTCGACCCCTAATGGGTCTTCCTCCTACCCCTGTCTGTTGCATTACAGCCAGAATACTAGCTTGTTGTCTTTTTGCAGTTTCTTTTTCCCTGTTGTTGTATACCTTCCACGCTACCTCCAACATTTTGTCCAAACTTCGAGTGTCCTCTCCTTCCAACTTTTGTAACTTTTTCCTAATATCTTCTTGTGATTGCCCCATAAACAACAATGCCAATTGAAGTTTTCCTGATTGATCCTCTACATCTAAATTAGTAAGCTTCCGAGCCATGTCTTTTAATCGTTCTAAAAAGGCAGACGGTGACTCATTCTTGTCCTGCTTGACCGAATACAGCTTAGACCAGTTCATAGTCTTAGGTATTCCTGTCCTAATTCCTTCCACCAACAATTCCTGATATCGTTTTACAGCCCTTATTCCTCCCGTAGAATTTGGGTCCCACCTTGGTTCCTCACTAGGTACCAATTCATCAACTGTTTCATTTAGTTGTCTCAACCGTATCTCCTCACGAGCCTTTTCTCTAGTGGCTTTAATAACCATTTCCTTTTCTGTGGAATCCATTATAGTATCTAATAATACCTGTAAATCATTCCAGTCCGGATTCTGAGTCTTTATTACCATTTTAACCACCCTTGCCACCCTTTCGGGATCCTCCCGATAACTCCCCGCTGATTGCTTCCATATTACCAAATCCCCGGGGGAGAAAGGCACCTTTATAAGCATCCTTTCTCCCTGTGGTCCCACAGCTTCCCTTAATGGCGCAATTAACTGTGGCCCCTTCTGCCACTTCCTCCCCTTGCGAGTCCGCCCTGCTAACGGAGTTCTTTTAACACTCTCATTCCTTTCACCATCACCACCATCACTATCACTCTCACTAGATCCCATTTTTATAGCTATATCCGCAGGGGGAGCAGGGGGCACATTAGGAGCAACCGGAGCCCTCGGAAGTGCTATACAGTAAGAAAAATCTTCCTCAATTGAAGGATACAAATTACGCTCCTTTCTTTCTTTACATCCCACACACTCCCTTTCATCATTCACTTCTAAAACCAAAATACCACACTCCTTTTGCCATTCATCTTTCCGGTACAAAACGAAAAACAAATCCAAATATGGTATTTCATCCCATTTCTCATTCCTCCTTAAAAATTGCATCAAAGATTCCATTATCTCCAATTCCAGTGTACCATTCACCGGCCATCCCGCTTGCCCAATCTCACATTCAGGCCACCAATGATTACAATAATCTATCATTTTACTTTTATCCAATTCTTGATAATACCCCTCACTTTTCCACCATTTCAATATACAACCTAATGGCGTATTTCCAGGTATTTTACCATTGGCTTGCACAAAGGTTTTAAAAGTTTTAAAAGACATCATATTACAGCCTTTAATTCCACCTTTAGTTCCAGTAAACCAATACATCTTAAACCAATATACCTTCTCGCCGTCCTTCCCAAACAAAAACAGGAGGCGAGTTCCGGTCCTGCATCCTTAGACGTCTTATGGCCGGAGCCTAGGCTTTTTACCAACCACCAAATCCAAATCCAATTATCACCTTTTTCCAATATAAAGCACCTTCAGGCTTACCTTGGCAGTTGTCCAACAGGCACGGGGTCGGGCACGACCGATGTCTCCCCGAGAAGTGCTCGGTGCCGGCTTGGAGTGGATCGGAATGCGGAACCGCCCCAGCTGCCTTTGGAGTCCTGCCGCGGTCGCCAGAAAAACTGTTGCCCGATTGATAAATGGCACAAAACTCGGATAAGTTTTGTGGGTGCTTTATTACGGGCCCGGGGTGCTGGGGGACTCACGTCCCAAAAACCCAAGCCCCCGATTTCACATATGGGTGCTTCCCTCTTATACATGCGATTCACAACAAAGTCTCCAAGAAACAGTTCCCTTGTGATACATTCCTTAGTTCACAGGCAAGATCATAAATCTTCTGCTTATCTTATTCTAAGAGCATTGTATGCTGCCTTCAGACAGGTTAGCATTCTTACTCTCCTGCACTAGTTTAATTATTTACTAAATTCCTAAGACTACTTGCTGAGTTAAACACAAACCAAACACACACACTATCAACGGCTGCAAAACTGCAAAACTGCTTTTAACAAACCAATTCACACACAACTCATAACTAAACTATAATTACACATTTTGCGCAATTTCATTTCTTTTCCAACACGGGCAGCCGTGACCCTGCTGGAGTGCGGGGGGGACCTCCAGCCCCCCGGGGGGTCCCAGCGCCTCCTCTGCCGAGGGTCTGGGTTCAGTTTTGGGAATTTTGGGATGGGCTGGATCCGTCAGAGACCCGGGCAGGGGCTAGAATACGTCGCAAGGATCAGTGACAGTGGAGGTTACACCGAGTACGCACCGTCAGTCAAGGGCCGGTTCAGGATCTCCAGGGACAACGGGAAGAGCTTGGTGACGCTGACCATGAACAACCTCAAGGACGAGGATTCCGGATCCTATCTGTGTGTCAAAGCTCCTGGTGCTGGGGGTGCTGCTCCTGCTGATTATAGTGACGATGCCCTTGCTGTCCCCATCTCCTCGTCCCCCCCGTCCCCGTTGCCCAGACCCTTCCTCCAGACCCGCAGCCCACACCCAGCCCTTGGCCATTGATCCCAACCTTGCTCTGCCTCAGCCCCAAATCTCACCCCCTGACCCCAAACCACAACTCGCGACCCCAAATGTCCACTTTGTGCCCCAAAACTTGATTCTGAAAGTGGATACTTCAAGCCAAGGGTTAAGGTTTGAGTCAACTTTGTAGTAATGTGCAGAGAGCGGATTTCGGGCCGAACCACTCCAAGATTGGGACATGGGGACAGGAATGGGGTCCAGGCTTGGGGTTTTGGGGAAGGGTCCAGAGAATGGAGATAGGTGGGGACCGGGGAACAGGAACATGGCCAAATGCAACCGAAACATGAGAGTGACCAATACCAGCAGCAGCGTTCCAACCAGCACTACCAACAACACTTCTGCCACAGAAATAGGATCCGGAATCCTCGTCCTTGAGGTTGTTCACGGTCAGCATCACCGATCTCTGCCTGTTGTCCCTGGAGATCATGAACTGGCCCTTGACCGATGGCGCGTAGTCGGCGTAAGCACCACTGCTGTGGATCCTTGCGACATATTCCAGCCCCTGCCCGGGTTTCTGGCGAATCCAGAATATGTCATAGCTCCCGAAACTGAACCCGGACGCTCGGCAGAGGGAGCGCAGGAACTCCCCGGGGGGCTGGAGGTCCCCCCGCACCCCAGCAGGGTCACAGCCGCCCGGAGCCCTGCGGGACAAAGGGGAGATGCGGATGAGGCCAAAGCTCAACCCTTGACCCAAATCCTGACTCTGGGCCCCAGATTGTGGCACTTTGTCCTTCTCCTCCTCACACTGGTCGCCCTACCATGTGGGTGCAATTCCTTTTCCCAGCTGGACTTGCCCAATGCAGGCCCACAGCCAATCAGGTTTCTCATCCCCATCTCCCCTTTGTCCCACAGGGCTCCGGGTGGCCGTGACCCTGCTGGAGTGCGGGGGGGACCTCCAGCCCCCCGGTGGGTCCCTGACATTGCTGTGCCGAGGGTCCGGGTTCGATGTCGGCGGTATCACCATGTTCTGGGTCCGCCAGAGACCCGGGCAGGGGCTGGAATGGGTCGGGAGCATCAGGAAGGAGGGCTGGAGCTCCATGTACGCGCCTTCGGTCAAGGGCCGGTTCACGATCTCCAGGGACAACGGGCAGAGCTCGGTGACGCTGACCATGAACAAGCTCATGGACGAGGATTCCGGATCCTATTTCTGTGCCAAATCTGCTGCTGCTGCTGCTGTTGGTGGTTATAATGTTGGTGCTATTGGCCGGCTATTGGGACTCACCTGTCCCCGTTTCCCAGACAATTCCCACCAAACCCTGACCCCACTCCTGCCCTTTGTCTCAACTTTGCCCTGTTCTGAACCCACATCTCAGCTCCTGGCCCCAAATCTCAGCTCCTGGCCCCAAATCTCAGCTCCTGGCCCCAAATCAGGGCCGGTTTCACGCTGAGCTCGGCCTCGTCCCTCCAATCCCAACCATTGCCCCCAGACTTGTCCAGTTTTCCCCCAAATCTTTCCTGCAGGCACCAAGTCACAGCCACAGACCCAAATCATGCCCATTGGACTGACATCGGGAATTTCGGGCCAAAATTTGAATTTTTGACTCCTTACCTTAACTTTGGCCCCAAATTTTGAAAAATTAAACGTAATTTGAGGAACGAGGGCACTGAGTGTGGCCCAGAGGGGACATATGGGGCAGAGCCAGAGCAGGGCTGGGACAGAGGGTGAGGAAATGGAGTCAGGGGCTGCGGTTTGGGGGAAGGGCCAGGGGAACGGGGACAGGAGGGGGCCCAGCCATGGGGGAGGAGCCAAGAGCATACGCAGTATTAGCACCAGCACCAGCACGAACACTCTTGGCACAGAAATAGGTGGCGGAATCCTCGGCCTTGAGGTTGTTCATGGTCAGCGTCACCGAGCTCTGCCCGTTGTCCCTGGAGATCGTGAACCGGCCCTTGACCGATGGCGCATATGCGGTGCTGGAACCACTGCTGTAGATGCCTGCGAGCCACTCCAGCCCCTGCCCGGGGCTCTGGCGGATCCAGTACATGTCAAAATTCCCAAAACTGAACCCGGACCCTCGGCAGAAGAGGCGCAGGGACCCCCCGGGGGGCTGGAGGTCCCACCCACACTCCAGCAGGGTCACGGCCGCCCGGAGCCCTGCGGGACAAAGGGGAGATGGGGATCAGAAACCTGATTGGTTCAGAAGGGGAAAAGGGGCGGGGCCACCTGGGAGGGGCAGCAGGAGCAGCAGGGCCAGGAGCCGGAGGGAGCTCGAGGCCATGGCCGTGATGTGCCGGGGTTGGGGATGGTTAATGCTGGTTTTAGTTTTGAAATTAATGTGGAACACTCAGGTCAAGGTGTGCAATTAATTAATGAGAATATTGAGTTAACTTGTAGGGTTTGAGGGACCTCAGGATTCCGGAAAAATGCGATGGAGATTTGGGACCAAACCAGTGGAGTTATGAGGGAAATTGGTAACGATTTGGGGATGGGCCCCGGGCAGCTGTGACCCTGCTGGAGTGCTGGGGGGACCTCCAGCCCCCCGGGGGGTCCCTGCGCCTCCTCTGCCGAGGGTCCGGGTTCAGTTTTGGACAATTTGGGATCAGCTGGGTGCGCCAGAGACCCGGGCAGGGGCTGGAATTTTTCGCAGGCATTGACAGCGATGGATAAACCAGATACCCGTCTGCGTTCAAGGGCCGGGTCATGATCTCCAGGGACAACGGGCAGAGCTCGGTGACGCTGACCATGAACAACCTCAAGGACGAGGATTCCGGATCCTATTTCTGTGCCAAATGTGCTTCTGCTGGTTGGGGTGCTTATGCTGCTGGTGCTGCTGTTGGACCCCATTCCCGTCCTTGTGTGCCCCCCTACCCCGTTCCCCCGATCCTTCCCTCCAGCCCTTGACCCCATTGGTGTCTCCCACAGACCCAAATCTGACCGATTTTCCCAAAATCTTGGCCATTTGCACCCAGGTTTGGAGACCTAGGCTGAGACGTGGAGCCCAGAGGTGAGGTTTGGGGCCAGGAGCTGAGAATGTGGGGCAGAGCCAGCTCAGAGCTGGGACACAGGGACAGGAATGGGGTCAGGGACTGGGGATTGGGGAAGGGTCTGGGGAATGCGGAAAGGGGGGGACACAGCCATGGCGAGGCATCAATGCCATAGGCATCATTAACAGCACCATTATCATCAGCACCCCTGGCACAAAAATACCATCCGGAATTCTCGTCCTTGATGTTGTTCATGGTCAGCGTCACCGAGCTCTGCCCTTTGTCCCTGGAGGTCGTGAACCGGCCTTTGACCGATGGACAGTAGTAGATGTAAGCACCACTGCTCCAGATCCCCGCAACGTATTCCAGCCCCTGCCCGGATCTTTGGAGGATCCATTGCATGGGGAAACTGCTGAAACTGAACCCGGACCCTCGGCAGAGGAGGCGTAGGGGCCCCCCAGGGGGCTGGAGGTCCAAAGGGGAGATGGGGACGGGGCGATGCAAACGTCCGGCAGAGCTGTCCAATTAATTTATGGATGGATTGGGTCTAATTGCAGGGTTTAGGGAACTTTTCCATACAGGAATTTTCTGTTAGATATTTGGGCCCCGACAAAAGGAAATTTGGGGCAAAATCAGTGAAGGTTTGGGGACGAGGAAGAGGCCATGACCCTGCTGGAGTCCGGGGGGGAACCCAGGGGGTCCCTGCGCCTCCTCTGCCGAGGGTCCGGGTTCAGTTTTGGCGTTAATGGAATGTTCTGGATCCATCAGAGATCCGGGCAGGGGCTGGAGTGGCTCGCAGGGATCAGCAGTGGTGGTAACACCGAGTACGCGCCATCGGTCAAGGGCCGGTTCACGATCTCCAGGGACAAAGGGCAGAGCTCGGTGACGCTGACCATGAACAACCTCAAAGACGCGGATTCCGGATCCTATTTCTGAGCCAAGGCTGCTGGTGCCAGGTGGGGTAATGATGTCTCTGCTCTTGGCCTCTTGTCCTTGACGGGATCCCCTCCTGTCCCCAATCCCCAGAAACTTCCCCCAAATCTCAGTCCGTGTCCCCATTCCTGACCCTTTGTCCCAGATCTCCCCCATTTCCCACACCACCAACCATGGATCCAAAACCCCCAAAGTGGTCGTGCCCCAAACCCAACTGCTTTGGCCCCAAAACTCACCCAATTCTGCCCCAAATCCTCACTTAGCGCTCCCAGCCACAGCCGCTGACACGAATCCACAACCTTTGTCCCCAAATCGGGACCCTGGGCCTCAAACCCCGACCTTCAGAGCCAAGTTATGGGGCACAAAGAGGAGATTTGGGGTCAGGAGTTGTGGTTTGGTGTTGGGAAATTTAGCAGACTAGAGAATGGAAAAGTACAAAGCCGTGGCTAATTCCAAATCTTGCACCTGTGAGATAGCGTGTACTTGGGCCTAGCTTCAGTAGGATAAAAAACAGTGAAAGAGACATGAGAAAAGAGAGATGTAACCCCTAAGGAATGAGGAAGAGTTCATGGTATAGTTTAACCAATAGATTGCTTGGCTTATAGAATATTCATAAACTTATTATTTGCTGTATAAGTGTTTGATGCTTTCTTCAATAAACCGGACCTGTGATGAACCAGCTGGTGTCCTGGTCCCCATCCTACGACACAATCAGGTCTCTCATCCGCATCTCCCCTTTGTCCCGCAGGGCTCCGGGCTGCCGTGACCCTGCTGGAGTGCGGAGGGCACCTCCAGCCCCCCGAGGGGTCCCTGCGCCTCCTCTGCCGAGGGTCCGGGTTCTGTTCCGGTGGTTTCCACGTGAGCTGGTATCGCCAGAGATGCGGGCAGGAGCTGGAGTGGGTTGCGAGTGTCAGTAACACCGGTGGCACCCCCTGGTACGCGGATTCCGTCAAGGGCCAGTTCAGCATCTCCAGGGACAACGGGCAGAGATCGGTGTCGCTGACCATGAACAACCTCAAGGACGAAGATTCCGGATCCTATTTCTGTGGCAGAAGTGTTGTTGGTAGTGCTGGTTGGAACGCTGCCGCAAGTATTGGTCACTCTCATGTTTTGTTTGCATTTGGCTGTGTTCCTGTTCCCCGGTCACCACGTATGTCCATTCTCTGGACCCTTCCCCAAAACCCCAAGCCTGGACCCCATTCCTGTCTCCATGTGCCAGTCTTGGAGTGGTTCGGCCCGAAATCTGGTCTCTGCACATTACCACAAACTTGACTCAAACCTTAACCCTTGGCTTGAAGTATCCACTTTCAGAATCAAGTTATGGGGCACAAAGTGGAGATTTGGGGTCAGGAGTTGTGGTTTGGGGTCAGCGGGTGAGAATTGGGGCCGAGGCAGAGCAAGGTTGGGATCAATGGTGAAGGGCTGGGTGTGGGCTGGGGGTTTGGGGGAAGGGTCTGGGCAACGGGGACAGGGGGGACGAGGAGATGGGGACAGCAAGGGCATCGTCAATATAATCAGCAGTAGCAGCACCCTCATCAGCAGGAGGTTTGCACAGAAATAGGATCCGGAATCCTTGGCCTTGAGGTTGTTCATGGTCAGTGTCACCGAGCTCTGCCCGTTGTCCCTGGAGATCCTGAACCAGCCCTTGACTGACGGCGCGTACTCGGTGTAACCTCCACTGTCACTGATCCTTGTGACGTATTCCAGCCCCTGCCCGGGTCTCTGGCGGATCCAGCCCATCCCAAAACTTCCAAAATCAAACCCGGACCCTCGGCAGAGGAAGCACAGGGAACCCCCGAGCGGCTGGAGGTCCCCCCCGCACTCCAGCAGGGTCACGGCCGCCCGGAGCCCTGCGGAAAAAACGGGGAGATGGGAATGGGGCGATGCAAAAGTCAGGCTGAGGTGTCCAATTAATTAATGGGTGGATTGGGGCTCATTGCAGGGTTTAAGGAACTTTTCAATACAGGAAACCTCTGCTGGACATTTGAGGCAAGAAAAAAGGATTCTGGGGCAAAACCAGAGAAGCTTTGTGGATGGTGGAGCAGCCGTGACCCTTCTGGAGTGCAGGGGGCAACTCCAGCCCCCCGGGGGGTCCCAGCGCCTCCCCTGCCGAGGGGCTGGGTTCAGTTTTGGCAGTTTTGGGATGGGCTGGATCCGCCAGAGACCCGGGCAGGGGCCGGAGTGGCTCGCGGGTATCAGCAGCCCTGCTGGTTCCAGGACCGCCTACGCGCCGTCGGTCAAGGGCTGGTTCAGGATCTCCAGGGACAACGGGCAGAGCTCGGTGACGCTGACCATGAACAACCTCAAGGATGAGGATTCCGGATCCTATTTCTGTGCCAGGGCTTTTTGTGCTGGTTGTTGGGCTGTTGCTAATCATGATGACTATGCTGTTGATAGCGTCAAACTTCTAGATTTTTCTCCTGTCCCATCATTGGATCTCTAAATTATCGATTTTCATCCCAAACCTCACCTCTTGTCTCAGATCTTGACCCTTTGTCCCTATTTGCATCAATGGTCAGCACTGACCCCCAACCCTCGCCTGTTTTTGCCCCAAAACTCAACCATTGGCTCCAAACCTTCACCCTGACCCTTTTTCCTAGCCCCGCCCCCTTTGCCCCAACGCTGCCCATTGGCCCCAAACTCTGCCCTGGGTCTGGCCCCAAACTCAACTCTTGGCCCCAAATCTCATCCTCGTGCCCCAAAAGTGCCCAAAGGGTCGAGATTTGGGGTGAAATTGGGCAAATTTTTGCACCAACTCAGTTGGGTTTGGTGCAGAACCAGTCAGGGTTTGGGGCCTTTGCTCACCATGGGTGGCAATGGGGGAGACTTTGGACAAACGGTCAAGAATGGGGTGAAGGGCTGAGATTTGGGAGAAGGACCTGGGGTTGAGGAGAGAAGGGGATACTGAGATGGGAATGAAGACACCTCAGGCGTCTTCATATTTAGCACCAGGACTGCAATCATCACCAGCAGATTTGGCACAGAAATAGGATCCGGAATCCTCGTCCTTGAGGTTGTTGATGGTCAGTGTCACCGAGCTCTGCCCGTTGTCCCTGGAGATCGTGAACCGGCCCTTGGCTGATGGCACGTAGTAGGTGCTGCCACTGCTGTGGATCGCTGTGAGCCACTCCAGCCCCTGCCCGGGTCTCTGACGCACCCAGAGCATGGCAACACTCCTGAAACTGAACCCGGACCCTCGGCAGAGGAGGTGCAGGGACCCCCCGGGGGGCTG